TTCCAGGTTGAGGGAATAGCCTGCATGATGGTTCAGTGTGGAGCATCAGAGGGATAGAAGAGTGGCTGGAGTGTGGCGAGGAAGCCGTGGGGAAGGAGACATGCCGATTCCTGGAGGGCCATGAACTACAGGTACACATATGTTAAACTAGTAGATATGGTCCCTGGGGCTCTGTTTGTTTTTCCTTTCAGCTTTTTTTTCTCCCTGTGTTTCCAGTTGATGTTTTCTATTAAGTTCGTTGATCTTTTCTTTGGTAATATGTTATAAGTCGTTAAGCCCATCCATTGATTTTTCATTTCATATATATACTTTTCACTTCTAAAATATCCATCTGGATCAGGGTTGGTTTTTTTTTCCCCCTTCTTTTTTTGTGGGATGGAGTTTCACTTTTGTTGCCCAGGCTGGCGTGCAATGGTGCAATCTCGGCTCACCACAACCTCCTTCTCTCGGGTTCAAGCGATTCTCCTGCCTCAGCCTCCTGAGTAGCTGGGATTACAGGCATGTGCCACGATGCCTGGTTAATTTTGTATTTTTAGTAGAGATGGGGTTTCTTCATGTTGGTCAGGCTGGTCTCAAACTCCCGACCTCAGGTGATCCGCCCACCTCGGCCTCCCAAACTGCTGGGATTACAGGAGTGAGCCACCGTGCTCAGCCATCTGGATCTTTTTTGTAGATTCCATTTCTCTATTAAGATTTTTATTTGTTCCCTCATTAAGTTTATGTTTTCTTTGAAATTCTTGAATATATTTTTGTAATATCTGTTTTCAAGCCAGTTCTATCATTTCTATCCACTTTTAGTCTTTTTTTTTTTTTTTTTTTTTTTTTTGAGATGGAGTTTCACTCTTGTTGCCCAGGCTGGAGTGCAATGGCGCAATCTCGGCTTACCGCAACCTCTGCTTCCTGGGTTCAAGCAATTCTCTTGCCACAGCCTCCCGAGTAGCTGGGATTAGAGACATGTGCCACCATGCCCAGCTAATTTTGTATTTTTGGTAGAGATGAGGTGTCTCCATGTTGGTCAGGTTGGTCTCGAACTCCCGACCTTAGGTGATCTGCCCACCTCAGCCTCCCAAAGTGCTGGGATTACAGGCGTGAGCCACCACGCCCAACTATTCTGAGTCTTCTATTAGCTGATTTTTCTATTAGTTGTGGGCCACATTTTTCAGCTTTATCTGTCTAGTAATTTTTATTGTATGCCAGACAGTATGCATCTATGAGGTTGAGTTTATGTTGTTGTCTTCCTAATAGAGTACTGAGTTTTGTTCCAACAGGCAGTTAATTTACCTGGGTATCAGCTTGTTCATTTCAAGGCTTATTTTTAAGCTTTGTTGGGATGAGTGTAATGTGGCCCTTCCTATAAAGCTAGATTAGGTCTACTTCTAAGGCCATGATTTTTCTGGGATTTCTGCTGAATGCTTAGGGTGTTCAATAAGGTCTCTCTACTCTGGCTGTTGGGAACTCACATATCTCCCAACCCAGTCCTATGTAATCTCTGGTAGTTGTTCAGCTCACAGCACCCCAAGGTTTTTTGGTTTTTTTTTTCCTGAAAGTTATATTTTTCCCTGCCTCATGAAATCTTGTTCCATATACACGATGTTTAGGACTCAGCCAAAGTCCATATTTTTGGATCTCCTCCTTTGCATAGCTTTCCTATTTCTGGTACATTGCCATGCAGATTCCTGAGGGGAGGGAGCCTCAATAGCTTTGAACTCTAGTCTTTGCCTTCACAGTCCAGAAAGTACCTCCAGGCACAAAGGCAGGGTGATTGTGGGGTGTGCCTCATTCATTTTTCTTCTCTAAGGGATCACAGTAAATTTCACATATTTTATCCAGTTTTATAATTGGTTATGGCAGGAGGGATAATCTGTTTAGTTACTCTATAGTGTAATAAGGCCAGAAGCAGAAATCTCATTCTTGTGTATGTTTACACTCATGCTTTTATACATTCTAAAACAGTATATAATATTTTCCATGTATTTAACATTTTTGCTTAAGTGTTATGACATTGTTCTTATTCTTCCATATCTTTCTTTTATAATCAACATTTTTTAGGAGCTATCCACATTGCTAGATTCATTGTTGCTTAACAAACATTTCAATATTATTGAGTGTCTGCTAAGTGCGAGGCATTGTTCTAGGTGCTGGGTATACAGTTGTACTTGATACTTAAATGTAAGCCAGGCACAGTGGCATGTACCTGTAATCCCAACTACTCGAGAAGCTGAGGCTGGAAGGTTGCTTTAGCCCAGGAATTTAAGACCAGCCTGGGCAACATAGCAAGACCCCATCTCTAAAAAAAAAATTGTTTTAATTAGCCAGATACAGTATAGTGTGCCATAGTCTGAACTACCTGGGAGGTTGAGGCAGGAGAATTGCTTGAGCCCAGGCATTCAAGACTGCAGTGAGCTATGATTGCACCCCTGCATCTAACCTGGGTGATAGAGTGAGATCCTCTTTAAAAAAAGAAAAGAAAAGAAAATTAAATGTAAGGTCTTCCTCTAAAGTATCCACTGACCAAAAGAAACTAGCAGGAAACAACCACTGAGGTAGGAGGAAAACCAGGAGACTGTGGCATCCTAGAAGCCACTGAAGGAAGCATTTGAAGAAAGAAGTGATTGGTCTACCGTGTTCAGTGCTGCCGAGTGGGTACACATGGGCATCACCAGTGACATACTGAGATGCAGTTAATTCATTTTAACTGCTGTATAGTGTCCCATCACATGAACAGAGAATATTCATTCCTCTATCTCCCACATTTAGGTGAATTTTCTTTTTCTTTTTTCTTTTATGAGACAGAGTCTTGCTCTGTTGCCCAGGCTGGAGAACATGGCTTACTGCAGCCTCGTTCTCCCAAGCTCAAGCAATCCTCCTGCCTCAGCCTCCCAAGTAACTGGGACTACAGGTGTGCTACCCTGCCTGGATAATTTTTTTTTATTATTTTTCTAGAGACAGGGTCTTGCCATATTGCCCAGGCTGGTCTCAGCTCCTGGGCTCAAGCAGTCCTCCCACCTCAGCCTTCCAAAGTGTGGGGATTACAGGTGTGAGCTACCACACCTGCCCAACTAGGTGAATATTTGCAATAAACGTTTTTGAACATGTCACCAATTTGCGCACATGTGCCCAAGTTTCTCTTTGGACCCTATGTAGGGATAGAATCACTAGATCATTCAGAAAGATACGCACAATTTCAGCTTGACAAGATCATGCCAAATTTCTCCTCAAAACGATGGTGCTGGTGCCTATAGAACTTCAGTAGTCAAGAGACCCCATTGCTTCACGCCCTCACCAATATTTGATATAGATTTTAAGACTCTTGCCAACCTGAGGAGTGAAAAGATGTGCTGTTGTTACTTCACTCTGCGTTTTTCTGAGTATTATTGGGGATAAGCATCTTGGCTGTTTGAGTTTTCTCTTACGTGACCTGCCTGTTAACGTCCACTGCCCAGTTTTCCATGGAGTTTTTCTTTCTCTTTTTGGTTTATAAGATTTCTTTATATATTCTGGTTACTAAGTCTTTGTCTATCAAATACATTGCAAATATTTATCCCAGTCTGTGGTGTCCCAGTCTGAGGTATGTCTTTTAACTTCATAGGTTGTGTGTGTGTGTGTGTGTGTGTGTGTGTGTATGTGTGTGTCATAGTAAAGTTTATAGTTTTGATGCGGTCAAATCTATGGATTTTGTGTTTGCTTTTGTGTTGTTCGTTTGTGTTTTGAGACAGGTCTCAACCTGTCGCCCAGGCTGAAGTGTAGTGGCGTGATCTCAGCTCACTGCAACCTCTGCCTCCCAGCTTCAAGCGATTCTGGGGCCTCAGCCTTCTGAGTAGCTGGGATTACAGGCATGCGCCACCATACCCAGCTAATTTTTGTATTTTTTGTAGAGATGGGGTCTCGCCGTGTTGGCCGGGCTGGTTTCAAACTCCTGACCTCAGGCAATCCACTTGCCTTAGCCCATGGGATGAGTGCTGGGATTACAGGCATGAGCCACCGCGCCCAGCGGTGTTTCAAATAGTGTTTTTAAAAAAAAAAACTTTTTGTGGTGTTTTGTGTTATTTAAGCAATCTTCCCTATCCTAAGCTCATGAAGTTACTGGCCTAAGACTTTTTAAGTTGTTCCTTTTTAAATACACTTTACACATTGATGAAAGTGCATCTCAGATGTATTCTGTGTTGGGGGCAAGGTGGGGAATGGATTTTTTTTCCTATTGAGAAAGCCAGGTGTCCCAGCCTCTCCAGCCTTTCTTTCTCTTGAGTCTGGACTGCCACCCCATCTCCTCTAGGCTCCCTCAGGGACATTGGGCTCTCTCTTCCCAATGAGGTAGTAGTAGTCCCAATGAGTAGTCATGTAGCCTGCTCTTGCACTCATACCTATACATTTCAATTATTTAACTTTACGTAAAATTTGATACCTGGTAGGGCAAGTGGGTAAAGTGGAGAAAGGGCACAGGGATATTTGCTTTTGCTTTAAACAACTGTCTGTGTGAATAACACTGGCTGAACTTGGAAAATGTCCATCTGCCACGCGCCTGTCATGATGTGTGGCGTGATGGGTGGGGATCTCATGACTTCTCTGTGAAACTCTGGGTACTTTTACTTTTGGCTTCCCCTCCCCACGCCCTGCCCACTGGCCCCCCCAGTTTCCAGGTTGTGATGTCTCTGAACCTTGGGGCGGCCCTTCCGGTATTCACACGTGGGCCTGTAGCGGGTGTTTTGGGACCAGGCTGCAGTACTGATTCTGTTGGTTACCACCAACCAGACCACAGCGACAGGCCTGCTGGGGGCAGGAGTTTCCTGTTGCCTCATAGACACCGAGACCGTGGATTCCAAAAATAAAAGCACGAGAAACCACCGTGACCTCATGGTCTCTGGTCGCAGGGGTTTCTGAGCACCCGGGACCATCTTCACCTGCAGTGGCCTGGCCCGGCCTGGGCCCTGTGGGCTCTGAGTGGCCCAGAGGGCCCCAGAGCCACCTGCCTGAAGCTCTTGCTCTCTGTCCCCGCCCTCTAGGCAGTCACCCGCAGGGCCAAGGTGGCTCCCGCTGAGAGGATGAGCAAGTTCTTAAAGCACTTCACGGTCGTAGGGGACGACTACCACGCCTGGAACATCAACTACAAGAAATGGGAGAATGAAGAGGACGAGGAGGAGGAGGAGCAGCCGCCACCCACACCAGCCTCAGGAGAGGAAGGCAGAGCTGCAGGCCCTGACACTGCCCCCGCCCCTGGCCCCGCGCCCAGGGCCCCCCTTGACTTCAGGGGCACGTTGAGGAAACTGTTCATCTCCCACAGGTTTCAGGTAAGTGGGACAGGAGTCCGGGATGCCCAGAGCTGGCAGGAGAGCCATCAGGGAATGTGAGGCAGGCGGCTGGGCTGAGCCCATTTGGCCACTGTCTCATTCATTCTATGAGTGTTTGCCCAGCACCTACCACGTGCCGGGGACCCTGTACTGCACTGGGCATGTGGCAGGCAGATCTCAAATTGTCAGGGAGAAAAGAGTCATGATCCAAAAGGAAAGGGTCCACCAGTGGATGGGTGTGAAATCGAATGTGTTCTATCCGTACAGTGGAACATGATTCCAACATCAAAAGCAAAGAAGTGCTGATCCATGCCACAATGTGAATGAACCTTGAAAACATGGTGCTGAGGGAAAGAAGCTAGACACAAAAGGCCAGAGTGTAAGATTCCATTGATACAAAACATCTAAGGACAGGCAAATCCATAGAGACAGGAAGCAGATTGGCGGCTGCCACAAGTGGGAGTGTTTCCATTTGAGGAGATGAAAATGTTCTGAAATTATAGTGGTGATGGTTACACAACCTTGTGAATGGACTTAATGCCACTAAATTTTATGCCAACTTTAAAATGGTATATTTTACGTTATGCAAATTTTACCACACACAAAGTAAATAAAGGGTAAATAACAGAGACAGAAAGAACACTCATCCGTTCACTCTGCGAACACTCAGTGCCAGAGGCTCCCCTGCCTCATGGAGACCCATCCTGCTGGGGGCCTCAGTCTCTCTTGTGGAGTGATGCCCAAAATACCTGGCTGTCCTGGCCTTAGCCCACTGCTGATAGCCTCCAGGTGTGGTTGCAGGGAGAAAGCAGAGCTGGGGTGGTCCTCACAGACAAGCGAAGGGAACTGAACTTTCTATGGAGTTCAAGCAATTCTCCTGCCTCAGCCTCCCAAGTAGCTGGGATTACAGGCGCCTGCCACCACACCTGGCTAATTTTGCATTTTTAGTAGAGACAGGGTTTCACTATGTTGGTCAGGCTGGTCTTGAACCCCTGACCTCAGGTGATTCACCCACCTCAGCCTCCCAAAGTGCCAGGATTACAGGTCTTAGCCACCATGCCCGGCCAACTGTCCTGCCATTGACTGATTGATTGATTGGTTTGAGACAGAGTCTTGCCCTGTCACCCAGGCTGGAGTATAGTGGCATGATCTCAGCTCACTGCAACCTCTGCTCCCTGGGTTCAAGCTATCCTCCTGCCTCAGCCTCCCAAGTAGCTGGGATTACAGGCACCCGCCACCACATCTGGCTAATTTTTGTATTTTTGGTAGAGAATGGGTTTCACCATATTGGGCAGGCTGGTCTCAAACTCCTGACCTCAAGTGATCCACCCATCTCAGCCTCCCAAAGTGCTGGGATTACAGGCATGAGCCACTCTGCCTGGCCATGTCCTGCCATTTAGAAGGGCTTTTATTATTATTTTTTTAAGAGATAGGATCTTGCTATGTTGCCCAGGCTGGTCTCGAATTCCTGGTCTCAAGTGATCCTCCCATCTTGGCCTCCCAAAGTGCTGTGATTACAGGTGTGAGCCACCATACATGGTCTAGAAAGACATTTCTGATTTTGAAGGACAAATGCAAGTGGAGTCTGGTCAGCCCTCTCTAGACCCCATCCCCAACCCCAACATGGCAGAGCCTATGTCTGGGTGCCTAGAAGTCCATTCAAGTCCTGGGAGGGCACAGGCCTGGGGACCACAGGGAAGCACACAGTTCTCAAAGGTGGGCATTTGGAGGATGCTACTGCAGGTGTCCCCAAACAAAATAGACCTGTCCCTCCTTAGAGCCTGTCCCTCTTCTGGAAGCAGAGAAATGCAGCCCTTGCATCTTCTATCACTGACTTTATTCCAGGGTAAAAGATTAAAAAAAATTATTTTGGTCTTTTTTTCCCCCACTCTTGTGTGGCTGAAAGCAGCGAAGCAAGAGAGCTGACATGCCAGAGCGCCTGGCGGCCCAGCTCCTCTGTGGCTGTGATGGGAAAGGAAACATGCTATTAAGTTGTTGGGGGTTGAAATCCCAAACCCTCAATTTCAGGAGCAGAAGGAAGGAACCAGCTTCCTTGCAGCTGCAAGGGGAGCCCTGGGCCGCCCCCTCAGGATGTTCCCCTCCTCCCTGGGCTTAGGGCTGGGGACTGGCCCCTGAGCTGGGACCCCCAGAGACACTCCTGCTGGGGAAAAAGACGAATGCCTGTCATAAAGTGAGTGGAGGTGTTTATTCACCTACCCAACAGTCACTTATTGAGCACCTGCTGTGTACAGTGACAAATGTGGCAGACACATCTTTGCCCTCATTGAGGATTTGGCAGGCTGCAGAGAGGCAGGAATGATGGGAGCCATCACTGAGACACACATTGGTTACAGATGGAGAGAAGCCCTCCTCAGGGAGGAGGGAGGCTTTGAGAGGTCCTGGGGGTGGGGGACTGATCAGGGACTGGAGTTGGAGGAGGTGACACCTGCATGCTGAGCAGGAGTGAACTCCGTGGATGGATGGCGTGGAAGGCTTCCAGGTAGAGGGGCTTCCTTTGCCAAGGACTTGCAGCATTGGAGGAATTGAGAAGGGTGCACGTAGATTGGGTGTGGGTGCTGCCAGCAGGCAATTGGCAAGAGAAGAGGCCAGGGAAGGTCATCCACGGGTTGTGGGGTACCTTTGAAAGCTCTAAGTGTGTGGGTGGGGGATCAGATTTGTAGAGGGACTCAGTGGCAGCAGTGAGGCCACACTGGAGTAGGCGGGGAGGCTCAGAGGTTGTGGTTTCTGCAGGTAGGATCGGCATCCAGGAAGCTCCTGGGATCCCTTTCTTGAGTGGTTTGAGATGGCCAAGGTGCATGATATATTGTTAACTGCGGTCCCTTCTTACATGGGATGGCACCACCAAGGGAGAGAATACAGGGGGTGATTCAGGGCCCAAGGAAGCCATGAATGACAGGACAGAGTTGAGCCAAGGGAAGGAGGTCCCAGGAGTCAGGGAGCTTTTTTATTCCCATGTACCGCAGGCCAGCCCTGTGCTAAGCGCTCTTCATACTTCACTCACATCATGCTCCCATTGTTGCTCTGGGGTAGAAAATGTGGCCCACTCCATTTTCCCCGTGAGGACAGTGAAGGTTCCAGCGATGAGAGATGTGCCCAAGGTCCAGGCAGATGGGGGAGCTGGGAGCTGAGCCCAGGACTGGCCGCCCCACAGCGCGGACTCTGCAGTCTTTGCCAGGGTGAGGATTTGGAATGAAGCAGCTTCTCTGAATTCTCAGCAATTTTCCTTGTGACCTGGTTCCCCTCAGAAGCAACACTCCCTGTGAACTGGCAGATTCAGGGCCCCGGGGATGAATTTTCATAGAGGCCAGGGTTATTATCCAGGCATCGTAGTTTTGTGACCTTGGGTTGGTCTGTCTCTCATTTTTCTTTTGCATTGTTTTTTAAATTGAGGTGAGATTCACGTAACAATCATTTTTAAGTAAATGATTCTGTGGCATTTATTTAATACATTCACAGTGTTGTACAAGTCACCACTATCTACTTCCAGAGCATTTTCTTTTTTTTTTCTTTTTTCTTTTTGAGACGGAGTTTTGCTCTTGTTGCCCAAGCTGGACTGCAATGATGTGATCTCGGCTCACTGCAACCTCCGCCTCCCGGGTTCAAGCATTCTCCTACCTCAGCCTCCCAAATGGCTGGGATTATAGGCACATGCCACCATGCCCAGCTAATTTTCTGTACTTTTAGTAGAAACAGGGTTTCACTATGTTAGCCAGGCTGGTCTCGAACTCCTGACCTCAGGTGATCTGCCCGCCTCGGCCTCCCAAAGTGCTGGGATTACAGGCATGAGTCACCGTGCCTGACCCCAGAGCATTTTCAAATGGAAACCTGGTACCCATTAGCAGTCACTCCCCATTCCCCCTCCCCCAGCCCCAGGCAACTGTGAACCTGCATTCTGTCTCTGGATTTGCCATTTCTGGACATTTCGTATAGATGGGATCATATAATGTGTGATCTTTTCTGTCTGCCTTCTTTCACTTAGTATGACGATTTCATAGTAGTGTGGGTCAGAACCTCATCCTTTTCATGGCTGAATATTGGGTCTGTTCCTTGTAGCTCTGTGGCTTGGTTTTACCTCATATGAGCTCTCAGATCCCTTTAGTTCCAAAATAAAACCAAGGAAAAACAACAACAAAAACCCCACTAGAGGCTTGCACCTTTATTAAGCTTGCTGAATTTGGAATGTGTGAAAACTTCATTATAAGGCAATTTGCCATGCAATTTTCACAACAAACCACATCATAGAATACTTTAATTACTGAAATAATTACCTACAGGTTGAAAGGATCAAAGAATTAATAGTCTGTTCTTGCAGAGGCCTGAACTTGTTTAATTTTAAACTGAAACTGCAGAAATTGCCAAGATAGTGGCAGATTAATTTTCAGAGGCCAGAATCAACTGATCTGAGAGTGCGAATGGCAGGGGATGGCGATGGTCCGGAATTTCCAAGGGAACAGAAGGGTCACTCAAAGTCCTGTGGGGCTCCTCCCACTGCTACATTTCCACTGCCATTATGGTATCCCCAACGCTGTCACCTTCACCCTGCCATCAGTGCCCTCGCCAACATCACCAGCTGTCACCATGACTGCCATCACTACCAGCTGCTTCCCACAGCTGCCACCAGTGAGACCACCCACCCACTCCACACTGTTCCCCACCTGTCCTCTGTCAGCCCATCACAAAGCCCACGAGGTTGTGTTTCCCATAACAGCTCTCCTCAATTCTCCAGGACACCGGGACTCCTCTCCCCTTCACCCTCTTCACCCACTGTGGGCACACGTGAGCTGGGGCAGGCACCTCACATCTCCGGGCAGAAGCTGGTTTGCAAGCACAGCAGCCATCCCTGTAGCTGAGGAGCCTGCAGTCGGCAGTCCCCAAGGTCCCTTCCAGGACTCAGACTGCTGAGGCAGGGCTGTGTTGAGTTATTTATTGAGCATCTGTTCTGTGAGCACCCCAGCAACAGCAGGCCCCAGGAATAGAAAAATACAAACTTGCCTGGGCGCGGTGGCTCACGCCTGTAATCCCAGCACTTTGGGAGGCCAAGGTGGGTGGATCACTTGGGGTTAGGAGCTTGAGACCAGCCTGGCCAACATGGTGAAACACCATCTCTACTAAAAATACAAAAATTAGCCAGGCATAGTGGTGTGTGCCTGTTATCCCAGATACTCGGGAGGCTGAGGCAGGAGAATTGCTTGAACTCAGGAGGTGGGGGTTGCAGTGAGCCGAGATCATGCCATTGTACTCCAGCCTAGGCGATAAAACGAGACTGTCTCAAAAAAAAAAAAATTATATATATATATACACACACACACACACACACACACACACACACACACTTAAAAACTGATTATTTGTTGCCATCTAGGTATGGGCAGTTTGGTTTGAGAGGTGGTATTTGAGAAACAGTGACCAAGGGTCAGAAAATGAGCCAGACATGTTCTGGGAGGACAGGGAAGGTGGGCACCACCTAGAGGCAGAGCAGGCCAGGAGGGTGGCGGGAAGGAGGCTGGTGGCTTCTATCAGAGAGGAGCTGGCCCTGCGCAGCCACCATCCCGGTGGGGCCTCTGGCGAGCTATAGCAATAGCCTCCCACCCTTAATGGCTTTGCCCAGTGGTTTCACCCACGTGCTTCCAAGCCAGCTCTTAATCGTGGGAAGAGGGAGGGCCTCCATATGGGTCTCATGGTCTCTGGTGCCTTCCCTCGGCCCGCAGGTCATCATCATCTGCTTGGTGGTTCTGGACGCCCTCCTGGTGCTTGCTGAGCTCATCCTGGACCTGAAGATCATCCAGCCCGACAAGAATAACTATGCCGCCATGGTAGGGGTTGACAGCTCTTCTGGGGTCTTACTGATATGTTTTGCTTGTGTTATCTGCACAGTAGGGGTGCAGAGTGGAGCAGCTGACACCCCACTTGGAGTAGCAAGGTCTGTGGTAGTTTAATAGGTGTTTTCATCTTCCTTTCCAGATTATGGATTAGCATTTACTACAAGCAGGAAACCTTGTTTCACATGATGGCTGGAATCCTGGGCGATGCTAGGCTAGTGAGCATGTGGGGTGGATCCACTCTGCCATCTCTGGCTCAGGAGGGGCATTTCTCCTGTCTTCTGTTGATGATCTGCATGGTCCCCATGCTGGGCCGTCAGGGGATATGCTGTTTATTCACTGACTCAGTTACTGAGCCCATCCCAGACGTTCAGGCAAAGGGTGGTGGACACACCCTGTCTCGGTGCCAAGGGAGGAGATCAGGAGAGTTAAAATCATCCCTGGCTGGGCGCAGTGGCTCACACCTGTAATCTCTGCACTTTGGGAGGACAAGGTGGGTGGATCACCTGAGGTCATGGGTGGATCACCTGAGGTCAGGAGTTCAAGACCAGCCTGGCCAATATAATAAAACCCCATCTCTACTGAAAATACAAAAAATTAGCTGGACGTGGTGGCGCAGGCCTGTAATCCCAGCTACTCAGGAGGCCAAGGCAGGAGAATCACTTGAACCCCAGAGGCGGAGGTTGCAGTGAGCCGAGATAGCGCCTCTGCACTTCAGCCCGGGCAACAAGAGCAAAACTCCGTCTCCAGAAAAAAAAAAAGCATTTCCAGTCCCCAACCCCCGCCATGCCCTTTTTTGGAAAAATAAAATGGAATTGATATGCAAATATATGTCTTTGCAAGTAGTGAAAAAGGCAGAAGGAAATGTTAAACCTCCTTCTTCCTGGTACCTTTCCCAGAGGCAGCCCAGTGACATCTCCTATGCCGGCATGAAAGGAGAATCTTCCCTGTCCATCTAATTTCTCCTAAATAATTGCTTTCATGTTTCTCAGAGACTGAGGTCTTGAACCCCTGGGCTCAAGCGATCCACCCACCTCTGCCTCCCAAAGTGCTGGGATTACAGGCGTGCGACACTGCACTTGGCTCTCTTCCTCTATTTTTAATAGAATCCATTAACATACCTGCCATATTGTCTTTTTTCTCTCAACTTTTTATTATGAAAAATGGCAAAGACACATTTTGCTGTTTGCTTTGTCACTATATATCCCCACAGATGCACACACATTTCCATCTGACCATTTGACGTCACAAACCTTCACTCCTAAATACTTCAACATGCCTAATAAGGTTTTTCTCCCGTGGAGCCATGAGAGCATCATCAGACCTAAAATAAGATCAATAGTCCCACCTAACAACCACTTTTGTTCACTCACTCATCCCAAATGTCTCTTTTTATTTTTGGGGGACAGAGTCTCTATCGCCCAGGCTGGAGTGCAGTGGCACGATCTCATCACACTGCAACGTCCGCCTCCTGAGTTCAAGCGATTCTCCTGCCTCAGGATCCAGAGTAACTGGGATTACAGGTGCCCGCCACCACACCCAGCTAATTTTTGTATTTTTAGTAGAGACGAGACTTCACCATGTTGGCCAGGCTGGTATCAAACTCCTGACCTCAAGTGATCTGCCCACCTCAGCCTCCCAAAGTGCTGGGATTACAGGCACGAGCCACCATGCCCAGCCCAAGAATGTCTTTAATGGCACTTTTTTTCAAACTAGGATAGAGAATTCCAATATTCTATTTGGTTGTGTCTCCTTGGAATTTTTTTTTTTTTTTTTTTCCTTAAGACAGAGTCTTGCTCTGTCACCCAGCCTGGAGTGCAGTAGCACTAACAGCTCACTGCAGCCTTGACTTCATGGGCTGAAGCCTTCCTCCCGCCTCAGCCTCCTGAGTAACTAGAACCACAGGCATGCACCACCACACCTAGCTAATTTTTAAAATTTTTTATAGAGAAAGAGTTTCCCTGTGTTGCCCAGGCTGGTCTTGAACTCCCAGGCTCAAGCAATCCTGTCTTGGCCTCCCAAAATGCTGGGATTACAGGCGTGAGCCACCACACGCAGCCTCCCTGGGCTTTCTTAATCTAGATAAATCCTCCTGCTTTTCTTTTTCCTTCATGACCATGACTCTTGGAAGAGCCCAGCCAATAGAATGTCCCATGTTCTGGATTTGTCTGATGAGTTTGAGGTCTCCTGCCTTATTTCCTGCACACCACGGTTAGGTCCAGGGCTTGATCAGCAGGGAGTCCTCATTGGCGGGCGATGTTCTGGAGGTGGCATTTTCAGGAGGCACACGCCAGGGGTCCCACTCAGTTGGGTCACTTGATTTAGGTAGTAAATGCTGGACAGCTCCACTGGCCAGGGGCATTTTTCCTGTTGCAGTGGTAAATGATCTGCCCGGTACTCCTTTGGTAGCATGCAAATATCCTCTTCCCCAGTTGGCATCTGTTGGTGATCCTTGCCTGAGTCAGTGACTACACTAGGGGATGCAGAATGGTGATTTTCTAATTCTGTCTTTCCTTCTACATTTAGTAGTCGGTACTCTTCTATAAAAAGGCACTTCCCTGTTTTCCCATGTGTGTGCGTGTGCATGGGTGTATGTGCTGCACTGTGAATTTTTTTTTATTCACTGTGTTACAATCAATCTTAGTCATTCTTTTCAATGTTCAGATTGCCCCAAATGTTGTCACTGTGAACCTCTTCAAGCTGACTGCTGGGTCCTGTTGACATGACTCTGTGATGTCTTTGAAGACTTCCTTGCTTTCTGGCACAAGACATCCTTGCCCACATTGTACCTTCCCTGCCCCAGATCTGGAAATGGTTATCTTGGTGTGAGGACTGGTTATTTTATATTTATATTTTTATTTTTATTTTTTTGAGACGGAGTCTCACTCTGTCGCCCAGGCTGAAGTGCAGTGGCCTGATCTCAGCTCACTGCAAGCTCCGCCTCCCAGGTTTACGCCATTCTCCTGCCTCAGCCTCCCAAGTAGCTGGGACTACAGGTGCCCGCCACCATGCCCGCCTAGTTTTTTGTATTTTTTTAGTAGAGACAGGGTTTCACCCAGGATGGTCTCGATCTCCTGACCTTGTGATCTGCCTGTCTCAGCCTCCCAAAGTGCTGGGATTACAGGCTTGAGCCACCGTGCCCGGCCTATTTTTATTTTTTGAGACAGAGTCTGACTTGTCACCCAGGCTGGAGTGCAGTGGTGCAATCTCGGCTCACTGCAACCTGTCCTCTGGGTTCAAGCAATTCTCCTGCCTCAGCCTCCCAAGTAGCTGGGACTACAGGCGTGCACCAACACACCTGGCTCACTTTTTGTATTTTTTTTAGTAGAGACAGGTTTTCACCATGTTGGCCAAGATGGTCTCAAACTCCTGACCTCAAGTGATCTACCTGCCTCAGCCTCCCAAAGTGCTGGGATTACAGGCATGAGCCACTGTGCCCAGCCAGGACTAGATCAAGATCTCGGAACCCTTTTCACTTACTTTGGTGATCACTCCTAATTGGAACATATGGATCTGCCTCCATTCATTCATTCATTCATTCATTCAGTTATTTTAGAGATGGGGTCTTGCTGTGTTGCCCAGGCTGGCCTCAAACTGGGCTCTGGGCAGGAGGCCCCACCTAGCCTCCTGAGTAACTGGGACTATAGGCTCAAGCCACCACACCCAGCTTAATCTTTTTAACAATTGTGTCCTTAGGGTCCCATATGGAGGTGCCACCATTCATTTTAAGAGTACCTTCTAATGGACATTTCTGTCTAATGGACATTTCTGTTGTCTTACAAACAATGCAGAAAATATTTGCTCTGCAAACAGTGCTGCAGTAAATATCCTTAGTTCCTGTGCACACGGGAGTTCAGCTGTAGGATAAGTTCTTAGCCACGGAATTGCTGGTCCAAAGGGTCTGGAGGACGCTTTAATTCCGACATTGCCTAATTGCCCTTTAGAGAGCAGGTGCCTCATCTGTGGTGTTCACAGCTGTGTTTCCAGCACCGGGCATCTGGATTTGTCCAACAGATGAATTCTCTTGCTGGTGACCAGGCAGGCGCATGCGAGGGCAGCTTGACCTCCCAGAGGCCCGATCTCCCCTGACTGTGGTTCCTTGTCCCCTTCAGATATTCCACTACATGAGCATCACCATCTTGGTCTTTTTTATGATGGAGATTACCTTTAAATTATTTGTCTTCCGCCTGGAGTTCTTTCACCACAAGTTTGAGATCCTGGATGCCGTCGTGGTGGTGGTCTCATTCGTCCTCGACGTTGTCCTCCTGTTCCAGGAGCACGAGTTTGAGGCTCTGGGCCTGCTGATTCTGCTTCGGCTGTGGCGGGTGGCCCGGATCATCAACGGTACGTCTCGTGCACTCCCAGGCTGTGGATGGAGAGCGGGGGCTCAGGCATACATCCAAGGCCTGGCGGCACAGTCACTCTGGGCGCCTGAGCTCACAGTGGCTCCCATTATGGAGGCCTCCCCACTGCCCCCTCACCTCCCTCTCCTCCCTTCTTCCTCTTCAGCCCTTTTAGGAGCTGGTTATGAGCAGGTTTATGTCAAGCAAATAAAATGAAACGGTTGGGTACAGTGGTCATGCCTGTAATCCCAGCAATTTGGGAGGCTGAGGCAGGAGGATAACTTGAGCCCAGGAGTTCAAGACCAGCCTGGGCAACAAAGGTGAAACCTTGTCTCTACAAAAAAAAAAAAAAAATAGAAACATCAGTTGGGTGTGGTGGTGCACACATGTAGTCCCAGCCACTGAGGGGGGCGGAGGTGGGAGGATCGCTTGAGCCCAGGATTTGGAGACTGCAGTAAGCCAAGATTGTGCCACCACACTCCAGCCTGAGTGACAGAGTGAGACCCCATCTCAAAAAAACAAAAAACAAAAAAAAAAAACTGGACTCTGTCAAAGGAAAGAAAAAAAGCCTTTGAGTTCCTACGGAAGATGCCTGTTATGGAGAAAGGGGGCATTTCCCAGCCTGTGCTTTCGTGGTATCTGTGCACACTGCTGCTATGCACCCATATGATTGTGAACAGGTTCTAGGTTAAGAAGCCTAATGTTCATCTTGTCAGCAATTATTTTTAAGGATTTCTCAGCCATAACAGCTATAGAGAGATATTGCATAACTGGGGACTAAGTAGCTCAGGCATGAAACCCTGACTTCCCAGCTCTGATGCCCTAAAGTGATGACTGTCTCGTGTGTCTGTCACCACTCCTCCCAACACTATATGGGTATAAGAATACAGATTTTTTCCCTCAGTGGTTAAGTTAGAAACCAGTATCACTGAGACCCCCAATTTTATTTCAGGGATTATCATCTCAGTTAAGACACGTTCAGAACGGCAACTCTTAAGGTTAAAACAGATGAATGTACAATTGGCCGCCAAGATTCAACACCTTGAGTTCAGCTGCTCTGAGAAGGTAAGACACATCTGGGGACCAGGCATGGTGGCTCATGCTTGTAATCCCAGCACTTTGGGAGGCTGAGGCAGGTGGATCACCTGAGGTCCGGAGTTCGAGACCAGCCTTACCAACATGGAGAAACCCTGTCTCTACTAAAAATACAAAATTAGCCGGGCGTGGTGGCGCATGCCTGTAATCCTAGCTACTCAGGAGGCTGAGGCAGCAGAATCGCTTGAACCTGGGAGGCAGAGGTTGCGGTGAGCCAAGATTGCGCCATTGCACTCCAGCCCGAACAAAAGCAAAACTCTGTCTCAACAACAACAACAACAAAAAGACATCTGAGAAGCTGGCCTCTGCTGCAGCAGCCGCCTGCAGCACAGCGCTGCTCATGCACCTAGAGCGCCCTTCCCTGGGCTGAGCCTGCCTTGTCCTTTCAGATCCAGCCCAGGCATCACATCCTCCCTGAAGCTGTGCCCACTCCCACACCCCGGGGCTCTGCCAGGTCCCCCACCTTTGTCTTCTCACTGCTGTCACTGCTGCTCAGTGGAGCCTATAATTGTAGCAGTCTCCTCAGCAGACTGAATGCCACAGAGTGTAGCTTTCATTCATCTCTGTGGCTGTGTGCCTGGGGCTTACTGAATGATTGTCACATCCCTGGCGAGGCTCAAAGTAAATTCCAGTGTTTGTCTGCTTTTGCAATAGGAACAAGAAATTGAAAGACTTAACAAGCTATTGCGACAGCATGGACTTCTTGGTGAAGTGAACTAGACCCAGACCAGCTCCCCGCAGAGAAGACACTGCCTCATGGGCCTGTGCTGTCATGTGAGGAACAGCTGCCCCTCCTGGGCCACCTGGTGAGAGGTTTGGTTTGATGCCTCTGCCTCCCTCCTGCCAGCATGGATTCTGGGTGGACACAGCCTTGTGGAAGGTCCAGTACCACCAAGAGCTGCCCATCCATTCCCACCCCACACTGTGTCAAAGGTATCACATTTTCTCATGTTGAACACTTTAGCCTTGCTTGAAAATGAGCAACAAAGCTGGACAATTTCTAGTTGTATATAAAATTTAGTCGCATCGAATGTACAGTTTTCAAATTTCACATGTATATTAAGGAATTGATGCATCCTTTCATATGAGCATTCTGAAAGAAAGAAAAAGAAGCTACTTTAGCTGCCACCCCATTCTAGAAAAGTCTCTTATTTTCAAGCTGTTCTAAATAGCTTCCCTTGTCTCAGTTTCCCCAAAAGGGGTACCCAGGCCCCTCCTCTGTGTGCCCCAGCTGCATCAGCCAGCTTCTAGGTGGCTCCATTGCATTCTGCCACCTGATATTTTCCCTCAATTACTGTACAATTACTGTATAAAATAAACTCTCTCTTTCCCCTGGATCCTCCTACTGTATTCTTTCCTCTGTGGCATCCATACCAGCCTGCCAGTCAGAGAGCAAGCTAGCTATAGTGCCTGGTGCAGAAATGGCAATAAGACCCAAGACTCCACTATAATTAACATGGTACTTAGGCGAAGATCCCTTGCAAGGCTGTGTACTCTTCTCGCACGATTTTATCTAATATATTGCTATTTTTTGTACTCACTGCAACCAGACCTAAAAAGGAAAAAACCTGAACTGAATATTTTTAAAATAACTCAAAGCAGGGGATGAATGAACTGGCCAAATCCCCCATACCTTTGCTGCTTCAAGGCCTATTCATTTTCTTTACCATCTCCCCAAAGACTTTTTGGGTTCTATCTATGACCTATGTGTTAAGTGTATTCCCCATTCAAAAGTCAGACAGAATAACATTTCCAAAAGGAAAAAAGGTGGGAAGGGGGTGGAGAAGGGCAGTGTGCTGGTTTGGAGGCAACCTCAAAGGTTAGAAGTATAATAAGGCCAGGCATGGTGGCTCACACCTGTAATCTCAGCACTTTCAGAGGCTGAGGCAGGAGGAGCACCTGAGCCCAGGAGTTTGAGACCAGCCTGGTCAACACAGCAAGACCCCATCTCTACAAAATATATTAAAATTAGCCAGGTGTTGTGGTGTGTACCTGTAGTCCCAGCTGTTAGGAGGCTGAGGTGGGAGGATCACTCAAGCCCAGAAGGTCAAGGCCGCAGTGAGCCATGATCACACTACTGCACTCCAGCCTGAGTGACAAAGCAAGACCCTCAAAAAGTATAAAATGCAGTGTCCCCTAGGGACTTCTAGCCCCACATGCACTTTCCACAGGGGATGACCTCAGAGGAGGGGCGTAGTTTCCTCAAGTGATGACTTACGTCAAACAAACGGGAAGAAGAAGTTAAAGGGCAGCCTGGCATTGATGGCTGGCGGAGCTCTGAAGCCTGCCTCTGCAGGTGCAGACACATCCACAAATGTAACCGCAGTAGAAATAAGAATCGTCCTTTCATTTCCTGAGCTGGCCTGTAATAAACAGAGAGAGCAAGGCCCACCCTCCAGTGTGCTCCCAGAATGACAACAATGAGACACTTTTCATTCTCTTCCTCACTCAACCACTGTCAGTTCATGAATCTGATAGATCCTGGAGCACTAATCAGCCATTAACTTGGATGAGGGAAACAATTTTACCAGGGTGTCTGATTAACACATGAGTATCAGTCATAATTTTCATGAGAATTTTAAAGATCCAATCGAAACCAGAATGCTAATATAAATAGAACCATCATCAGTGTTTCCTTCTAAGTAAAAGAATGCTGAAGTATTTTATGAACCCCCATGGTTTAAATTATAATCTTTTACACAAAGTAATACCTGTCACCTACCACACTTGAGTTGCGTCTAGACTTCTGTCTTAACATACGCCTTTAAACTAGGTTAGACCTACCTCAGGAAAGGAGGATGAAATTAGATTTGCAGTTACATTGACTATTTTGGCCTGTGGATTCAGTAGGGATCCGTATTTGGTCCACTTCACTTCTATAACCAAAGCCCCTGGGAGCTGGCAGGAATCCTGCAAAACAGAATGCTGTTAATCCATTAGAATCTTACACAACCACAAGTCAGACTTAATCTGCAGTTCAGAGTGTTAATTAGAAAAGGTTTCATATATTACAAAATGTTCTGAACAAGAAAATGAATAGACTCTAGTAGTTCAGATAAAAACAGCTTAGAGAAAGTACGTATTTTAAAGTAACTCAATGCCCCAAAAATATTTTTAACAACTGAAGCGTAATTTTTCCATCCCCTTCTATTTCTTTTTTTGTTTGTTTGTTTTGTTTTGTTTTTTTTTGAGGCGGAGTCTCGCTCTGTGGCCCAGGCTGGAGTGCAGTGGCCGGATCTCGGCTCACTGCAAGCTCCGCCTCCCGGGTTCATGCCATTCTCCTACCTCAGCCTCCCGAGTAGCTGGGACTACAGGCGCCCGCCACCTCGCCCGGCTAGTTTTTTGTATTTTTTAGTAGAGACGGGGTTTCACCGGGTTAGCCAGGATGGTCTCGATCTTCTAACCTCGTGATCCGCCCGTCTCGGCCTCCCAAAGTGCTGGGATTACAGGCTTGAGCCACCGCGCCCGGCCCCCTTCTATTTCTAAAAAAGTCGACATCACCTGAAACTGCGGTAGTGCCGATATTCAACTGTGGACCCTTTAGGGCCATAACTGCTCTAACTTCATCTACCTGTTTACACCTGCCTCACAGACTTCAGGAAAGAAACTGGTGGGAGGGATGGAGGGGAAGAAATAATTATTAGCAGACAAATAAAACCTGATTGCATGTCATGTTAAAATGCTCTGAGGGGAAATTTAAATGCCTTCTCATTTATCTAATTTCATCAACTGGCACTTAAGATGTGACATTTGGGTAACCAGGCAGTGTCAGTATGTTGTCAAAGACATCAACTCTTCATCTGCACCAGGAACGCTGCTGGTGCCATGAAGGAGCTGAGCTGCCCATTTGGTTGGCTGCTTTGGGAGCCAACTCTAAGGCCTCTGACCCAAGGGAAAAAGGGGCCGTGGGACTTCCAGGACTTTTTCCTGCCTTTGCAGTCTCTCCAGTTGGCAAATGTGGTAACTGTTGAAGCTGCAGGCTGGGTACGTGGGGACTCCATGGTACTATTCTACTTTTGTGTATGTATGACATGTTTTCATTAAAAAAAAAAAAAAGGTTTAAAATACATCTCTTCAGGACATGAAAACCTCACAGGCCTGCTAAATTTGGTGGCTGCGAAAAAAGCACTAATGGAATTCCTTAGCTTGGAACTGCCTTTAAAAACCGTGCAGGCTGAACAATCCTCTCGAATATCCCGTTCTTAGGAGACGATGCAGCATGCAGCTGGTGGAAACTGAGTTTAGCAGGTGCTCGTGTCTGCCTCTACCTGGGTTGCCGGCAGAGTTGGTACAAAACCCACTGCTGCAGGCCCTCTGAGCATTCAGGATCAGCACAGACCCTGACAATGCTGTGTGCGCACTGCTGCCTCTCCTCCCGACCCGTATCTTCCCTTCTGAGGAGTAATAACTGCATGTCTTCAGCCATGGCCAAGAAGCCAGAAGCAATGTGCCTGGTTCTGGCGGGAGAGTTGAGCCAAGACTTCGCAGTGGAATGGAGTAATCCTGGGTCTCTGCTGGCCTCGGTGGGAGGGCGGATCAGAAAAGTGAGCAGTCCTCATCCCTGTTATGCCCATGCTAGAAATACTCGGAGCAGATAATGAGAGGTCTGAAGAAAGCATGACAAGAACAAGCTGGGCAACTACAGGCTAAGATGGAGAGCACGCCTCCGGGCCAGGGCTGGCCCACACACTGACTGCTAAGACAAAAAAAGGTGGGCAGAAGCATCACATGTGACCAGGAACCTATCTGTAGGATTGTCAACTTCCATTCAACTCTGTGAGGAACTGTGGCAGTGAAAACTCTGAGGTGTAGGCTGCCTGGGTAGACCAGAGGACAATGGGTGGGATAGCCAGGTGCATGGAAGGAAGTCTCAGTCTTTGATACAGGACTCAACATTCGTCTATCGTGTCATGAGATGCCTGGAGAGGGCTCGAGGGACACCAACAATCACAATGATGGTAGCAACAGGATGAGGATCACAGTGGTTCCCATTTATGGACCACTAGGCACCATGCCCAGGGCCACATAAATGTTACCTCACTTAACCCTCTCAATGCCCCATGAGGTCACTCACCCACTATGACTAGCGTTCCCATTTCACAGATGAAAACAGAGGCTCAAAGCCATAAAACTGCCAGCCAGAGACAACATTGCTAACAAGGGGCAAAAATCAGTATCCAAGATTCAGCACATGCTCCCACTCAGAACCATCCTGCCTCCTTAACAGCTGGCTTCCCCAGCTGCCTTCATCACACCACCTGGAAGAGAGAGACTGCTAGCATGGAACCTGCACCTTCTCCCCTTTACCTTCCTGTTGAATGACTGGGTGATGAAGTGGATGGGCACCCAGTCCAGCACATCCTGGGCCTGCGAATTTCCAAAAGGGGCCACATAATCTGGGAAGCCCTGGCCCCACAGCAGGTTCTTCACCTTCTGGGCTACGAGCCGACACGGGAGAGCTCCAGTCAGTCTTGGTGAAGGAAAAAGAAGTCAACTGAATGAGGCTGTTGTTCATCCACCAGCAGTTTTTCTTTATTTTCTTATTCCTTTCCTTCCCTTTATTTATTTATTTATTTATGACAAGGTCTCACTCTGATGCCCAAGCTGGAGTGCAGTGGCGCCATCATAGCTCACTGCAGCCTCAAACTCCTGGGTTCATGCGATCCTCCCAGAGTGCTGGGACTACAGGAGTGAGCCACCACACCCAGCCCACCAGCAGTTTTTTGTTTTTTGATTTTCGATTTTTGTTTTTTGTTTTGTTTTGTTTGAGATGGAATTTGCTCTGTCACCCAGGCTGGAGTACAGTGAGGCAATCTCAGCTCACTGCAACCTCC